CAGACGCTTACCACATTAAGTCTCTACTGGAATTTTATCGGAGAGATTGGATCACAGCATATAGCGGATGCTCTACGATATAATACAGTAACTATCATTCTCTTCGTGACCTATTTCATATATTCATCTTCGCCTTTTTATACAGACGCTTACCTCATTAGATCTCGGCTGCAATCTAATTGAAGATGTTGGTGCACAGCGTCTGGCGAATGCGTTACAATATAATACGGTAACTATTATCATCTTCATGATCTATTTCATGTATTCATCTGCACTTTTTTATAGTCGCTTACCACATTAGATCTCTCCAGCAATAATCTAATGAGTGATGTTGGTACACAGTATATAGCGGCTGCATTACGAGCTAATACGGTAACTATCATTCTCTTCGTGATCTATTTGATATATTCATCTGCACTTTTTTATACAGACACTTACCTCATTAGATCTCAACTGCAATGGTATCGAAGATATTGGTGCACAGTATCTGGTGGATGCATTACAAAATAATATGGTAACTATCATTCTGGTACTCATCGATCTCATATATCCATCTACACTTTTTTATACAGACGCTTACCACATTAAATATCATACGCAGTATTATCAGTGACGAACTCATGAAGCAAATGAATGAATTGATTGAACGAAATAAGGGATTCGCAAAAATGAAGTGTTGATATCGACGGTGCAGTGATCACTAGTAGAGAACTATTAATAGCTGTCTGAAGAAGTTTCTTTTTCGGGTGTCATCATAATTCAATATAAATATAATCGTTTTATTTTATGTGTGATTTGTATTGTAACGACATAAGTTGGATTGATTTTTTATCCAGATGTACTGCTCTTGGGTGTGGGTGGGTGGGTGTGAATGTCTATTTTCTATTCACACCCGCTTTCGTTTCCACCCAAACCCTTACACCTTTACACTGAACACGGTTTTCTTCGAAATTTAACGTTAGATCTCACTCTTAGGCGATTCAGATCGATCGGTAGATCCGACCAGGGGGAAAGGATGGAATCCGGTCATTTTGGATTTCGATGAATGCCAAAGGTTTCAATAACACTAATGGATTTCAATGGATTAAGTTGATTTACATGGATTCTTTAAAATTCTGACGAATATCTTTCGATTCTGCCTTATTCCATTGCTGTTTTAGACCTGTCAGCCTGCATTGAATTTTCCAGAACGTGATCCAGATTTTAAATAAACTACGCAAGTTATCAAAACGATTGTATGCATTCATGTTTAGTCTTTTATATTATTTTGTGTATCATTGTTCATACTTGTATGTTAATAACTCATCATCTTCTTTTGCTGAGCAATTTATCAAATTCAAATTCTTCTATGAAAAATATATTGACCTAACGAGTCTGTTTCTTCAATTTTTAGTGCATCAAAATAATTTTTCTAGCACTAGCAAAGATAGAAGTGCGTAATAGCACTGAAAGGTTTTTATTTATAAGGGTGTGGATGTGGATCCGTGTGAGTACCGGTGAAGGTGATCTGGTCGTTTCACACTCACGCCTATCCCAAACCTACATCACACCCACACCCACACACCCACACCCTCAAGAAAAAAATAAATGTGTCTCAATCTAAATATTAGTAGCTCGAAACTCGAAAAATGTCTCTTGCAAAAATATCTTATGAGTATAACAATGTCTTTTTAGTTATTTCAAACTATTGTTTATCAATAGATCCAATGTTATTGTAAATTTCTCTCCTAAAAATCCAATAAATGTAATGATGTCTCTCATTGAGTCACTTCAGATAGTTTTTTGAAGAAAATTTAAAATATCAATATGAATAGATCCAACATTGTTGTAAATTTCTCTCCCAAAAAATCCAATTTGTTTTAACAATGTCTCTTCCTCTATTATTTTCAATTTATTCTAATTTTGATGCAAATGCTCCTCCCAAAAAATCTTCAACCAATATAACAAATACACCTCCTTGAATTTTTTGTAAATTTATCGAGGTGACAATTACAAGATTAATCACTATTCTTCTACATTAATATCACTTTTTATAATGTCTTCTCTATTAATATTATTATTTATAATATTTCCTACATTGAAATCACTATTTATAATATCTTCTGCATTAGTATCATCACTTACATTAATAACATGAATTAATATCATTTTATTATGACATTTATAAAAATTCTCTTCACACATTCGCTTGAAAAGAAATTCGAAAGGCCTCGCGTGATTAAATAGCTATTTCCCAAAAATTTGTTTTGTTCCCTCTCCTTAATTACTTTTCTGTAATTATTTGTTTATTTTTCTTTGTGTTCTGTTCATAATTTATTTTTCTATTTTTTGTGTTTTTTCCTTTCTCTCTTTTTTTCTTTTTTGTTAAAAAATACAATTAAAAAATTAAGAATTATTCTTGTTGACTTGCTTTATTTATAAAAAAAAAACAAGCAAGCAAGCAAACAATTTACTCTTACTGGACTCTTCTCTACGAGAAAGAGAATATTTCCTTTTCATAAGATAGCCTCGTTAGAGAAATATTCTTTTAGAACAGATAGTTCTAATATTTATTGTTTAATATAAGATAGTTCCTATTGAAATAATAGTTTCGCTTGGAAATTTATTTTGCATATAGTGATAGATACAATATTGTTAGCATCTTAGTTAGTTGTGATGATAGCATGTTGATTTCTTAATTAAGTTGATATGGAAAGATAAAGTTTTATATCGTGATGTATCTCTGAGTGAGTGCTATTTGAAAGTTCCATAACTATGGTAAAGATTCTAAAAGATTGGTCCGTGACCAGTCATCACATTCAATGGTGTTTGTTTTTAGACGATGTTGATCTTTATCTCTGATATGTATTTTTTTCATTAAAAGAGATCCAATGACTTGCACGATAAACTGAATAACTAATAGAATTATATGTGATACTATCCAAACATAGGCGAATATACTTAGATGATATTGTCTGACGCGAAAACAAATATAAATAGTTATTATAGCTGCATATATAAAGCATCGAATAATAAGTAAAGGCCAGTAACTAAACCAAAAGAATACAGATCGAACCTTATAGAACAAATCCAATCGCCATAATAATAACGGTATATGCATAATATAATCGAGTGTTGCATGATACATTCCTATAGAATATACGTAACAAATCAAGCATTTGACTACAAAATCATCCGATGAAGAAAATCGAAGACATATATTTGCGATTGTTATACGAATTAAAGCTGTTATATGATGAATGGTTAATTGTGGAATCTGCTTTTTACGTATTTGATTTAATGGATCTTTGTAATTTAATACCATCTCATATGCATATAATGTCCAAAATACGATACCAGATAAATAAGCAATAAAAACCGTACGAGTTCGTAATAATAATTCATTTTTAAATAGAAATAATACTACGTCCGGCAAGCAACATGCTGTGATGAGTACTGTGAAAACAATCTCATAAAAATTTAGAAGATTGTAAAGTATAACTTTTTGATAAAAACGTTCATTTTTCACTTTGTCGCAAAATTTCATTTGTATAACAAGTTGAAATAAAAGGTAATGAACCAAGAATATTATTGGATAGAAACAGTCAATATGATAAAGTAGATCAGCAATGTCTGCCGTATGAGTTGTATTTTCCATTATCTATATCTGAAAAATTGCTAAGAATGAGAAAAGATACTATTCGATAGTATCATTTTTCGCAGACACGACAATTCCGTGATAGACTAATATAATAAGTAGTTTTGGAATGTTCGAAAAGTAATATTTCAAATATAAAACAATTAATTATTTAATGTCCTTTATTATCATAAGAATTGTTTTAAGTCGAAATTTTCTCTGAATAACCTATTCATAAGACATTCGAGGACGTGGGTGTGGGTGCCTCTTCTTTAACAACACCCACACCACACCCTCAATATAATACTAATTTTAAAAAAATTAATTCTCACCTACAAAATATACTGTGAAACAAATCTAAAATAGTACTATCCGTAATACAAAATCTTACGTATTTGGAATATAGCATGAAAAAAAACAAAAGAATAAATTATTACTTGAATAATATCTGAGTCTAATTGGATTATATCGAATGAATAGATTCAAAAGAAAATGTTGAACTTACCTAAATAGTGCGATATAAAGTGAACGTAGAACAAATAATAATATCAATTGTATACTCCAAATTCTTCTCATAACTGTATTATATGACTCAAGAATGATATTCAAGACAAGGACACACGTGTACATTTTTACAAGCTAGAAAAAAGATGATTATTCTATAGGTATAGGTAAGTAAAAGATACAAAAGTAAGAACGAACAAATTAACATGTGCGAATTTTTTCTTGAGAAAAAAGAAAATATTACATCTGTTATAACCGTGTTTAAATATTTATTGTGTTCGTGACCGTTTATAAACAATATATTTGAACGAATTTGAATGCGTTCATTTTATTTCCAAAAAACAATCATCAGTCTAGATCAGAATCGAACTGATGGACCATGATGAACTATGTATAATACTCTAATATCGTGAACAATGAAGGAAGGGTAATTTTTTAGTGATAGTCTGAATCGAGATTTAAAGTCATGATCATAGTATATAACATATCAAACACAGCTAGCTATGAAACAAATATAGCTCGAAGTTATGTTTATGTTCATGAATGAGATGAATAATGTATTGTAGGTTGTTTATTATGAGTTTAAGAATAATGTATGAAAATAACAATAATCTCCAGATTTAATTAATTTCAATGAAAAATAAATTTATGTAGTTTTGGTTTACATATAATTTTCGATCATTCTTTCGACCACTATCAACCATTCACTCAAGATTATTGATATTTTTATACATTATTATATAAAAGTAGAATTAAACCACTTGAGTATTTATATATAAATTGGTTGTGGAATGAATTTAACAACATTCATGTATATTGATTATGATGTATATGATTATATATCCATTTTGTGTTCGTGTTCATATTTTTGTTATAACATTTGATACAAGGTAGTATTAAGGCCACCCCCCCCCCTCGAGAAAAGTCAGTTTTCGTCAAAAAAAATGAAAATTGAAATAAATGCATGGGAAGATAGCTTGTCATCTGCTCTTTCATAAATGATAAAAGTTTTTAGCCGATATCCCATTTTTTTCAAAAATTTGTCAAGATTTCTGCCACTCCCTATTCGAAAAACAAGCAATTTTCTGAAAAATCAAAAAGTGTTTTTCGCTTTTTCTCAGTTTATGGTTTTCTGATGGCGCATCCCAAATTTCTCTGTGTATACTCAGACAATATATATATATATATATCTGTTTGAAATAGCGTGCCAAGATGCAGGACATGATGGGATCCTTTTTTTAAATTGAACTTTTTTTTGAATATATATAAGCGCTTAAATCATTCGACACCCAATTTTGAGGATCTCAAGAGTCCTTGAACTTGTGATATCTTTTTTTCTACTAAAAAGTATGAATTTAAAAAAAAAGGATCCCATCATGTCCTGCAGTCTGACATACTCTTTCAAACAAAAAAAAATTAAATGCACAGGATGAGTCAAGACGGTGAAATTTAGGATGCCAAATTAGCTATTCTGAGTTATTTTGGGTTTTTGTTTGGTGAATATCTCTCCCAAATAACATGATATCAGACTGAAAATTTTACCAGAACTTCTCCATTATAGCTCTAACATATCCTGCAAATTTCAAATCATTTGAATGATCTTAAGTCAAAAACCCATTTTCGAGAGGGTTGGCCTTAAAGATTAATAATGATTGAAAAAAGATCGAAATTCCCAAAAAATCAAAATGAAGGGGGGAAAAGCGGGTCCTGGATCCCCGGATCCTCTGAATTTTTTGGATCCTGATGGATCCTAAGAGATCCTGATGGATCCTCAGGATTCTGGTGGATCCTAACATTCATGAGGATCTATGAGGATCCACCAGGATCCGCTTTTTCCCCCTTGGTAAATATCGTTCTCTAGCTAAAAAGAGAATTCAAAAATAAGAGAAATGCCTTTTTCTAACTATAAATATGGTATAAACCATTGTACATAGCTGCAGGTTTATAAAACTATTGACAGATAACAAAACAAAATTCAAGTTCATTCGATATAATTAGTTTGGTGTACTATTTACCGGGCATATGTTGTAACTTATATGCTACAATCATCGCTATTATTTGAATAAGATATATTTTCAGGTGCATTTTCGTATATGTGTAATCTAACTGGAACCAATGAGTAGAATACTTTCTATATCATCTATTGAATTGATAAAGAATATGGCGTTCACTTCTAATAAAAACATATATAGTGAAAAAAGAATTGAAATAGTTATTAAATTTACTTTTGTTTCCTTTCTACGTTGTTATATATTTCACAGTTTCTATTTTACTATTGTGGTGTAGGATTTTGTCGGTTGAATTTGCTAAGACCCGATCGGTATCCCACTATTGGATTTTGTCGATTCAAGTCAATAGAATCCGACAGGAACTAAAATCCAACAGAATCTAATGCGATTCCGTCACCAGGAATCTGATAAAATCTTATGAGAATCTGCAGGATCTTGTAAAATCCAATAGTTTCCGATCGGATCCGACTATAGGATTGGTGAATCTGCGTAGTATCCAATCATTTGATAAACACGTTAAGGCATCTCACTCGTTGAAATCATGAAAAGGTTTAAATGTAAATAATAAATTTTAGTGATGAGAAATAATCTCATGCGAGAAGACACATTAAAACATGTCATTCGTTAAAATAAGAGAAGATCTCAAGTATAAATAATAAGTTTTACTGACGACAAATAAACTCATTTGGTAAGACGTAATAAAATATTTCACTCGTTAAAATAAGAGAAAATTTTAAGTACAAATAATAAGTTTATAATGATTAAAACCATATTTATTCGAGGAGAAGTGCTCTAGCATCATACTCGTTGAAATTAGAGAAATGTGTAAGTATAAATAACAAGTTTATAATGATTAAAGCCATATCCATTCGAGAAAACGGTTTAAGGTATATCACTCATTAAAATTCGAGAAGGTGCCAAGTGTAAATAATGCGTTCTGCTGATGAAAAACAAACTGATTCGATAAGACGTATGAAAACATCTCACTCATTAAAGTAAGTGAAGATCTCAGGTATAAATAGTAAGTTGTTTTGATAAGAAACAATCTCATGCGAGAAGATGGATTAAAACATGTCACTCGTTAAAAAAAAGAAAAAAATTGCAAATATAAATAATAAGTTTCACTGACGACAATAAACTCGTTTGATTAGACGTAATAAAAACATTTCACTCGTTAAGATAAGGAAAACATGTAAGTATAAATAATAAGTTTATAATGATTAAAATCATATTTATTCAATAAAGCGCCTTAAGGTATCTCATTCGTTAGAACCAGGGAGACGTTTAACTATAAATAATAAGTTTTACTGATGAGAAAGAAATTCATTCGAGAATAAGCGCTGAAGTATCTCACTCATTAAAATCTGGAAAGATTTCAATTATAAATAATACATTTTACTGATGAGCAACAAACTCATTCGAGATGAAGCGGTAAAGCATCTCATTCATTAAAATATGAAAAGACTTCAAGTATAAATAATAGGTTCTACTGATGAGAACCAAACTCATTCGATAAGACGCATTAGAATATAACACTCGTTGAAATAAGAGAAAGATGTACGTGTAAATAATAAGTTTATAATGACTGAAATCATATTGATTCGAGAAAACGCGTTAAAGTTACAAGAGAGTTTCTTCAAATTTAAACAGTTTATTATCGTTGCAAGGTTACTTACGCTTGAAAGTTAGTGAAAGAGCTGCAGGATTGTTGCGAAATTGAAGAAAATAATGAAAGCGGAAGAGAAAATCTTTGTTTATCGTCGTCAATTTGTTGTTTAACGTTACTTTACTCGTATAGTTTAAACGACATACCATAGTTGATTTTCCATTAACTAACTAGTTAATTAATCCGTTATAATAGATAGTCTACGAGACAGCCAACATTTTTATATTTTCATTTTAGAATTTGAAATTATTTATAATGTCATTGATCATCGTTCTCTCGACAGCTAAAACAATAATCATTAAATATATTTGTCAAATATTTTTAATATGTGGTATATTTGGGTCTTCACTTAATATTTTACTATTCTCACGCAAACAGTTTAGAAAAAATTCGTGCTGTACATGTAAGTATATACTCAAATCAGATTTAGACCATAATAAAATATGTGTGAAAGTAGGTCTTCGAATAATGACCGAGAAAATCCTTAGGATGTGTTGTATGTTATGTCAAAAATAGCTCACAGTATATTTTTCTTGCTTCAGGATCCCACAAAGCATGCCAGTCGGAATACTAAATAGGCCAGCCAAACTCAACTTGTAGGAGGTGTCTCTAAATCTAGTCATGTCTATCTTGTTATACCAAAAGCATTCAAAAATATCTAGCTTGTTGTGATCAATGTGCATTGACACAATGATGAGTAAGCTGTAATAATGATATTATAAATCTGAATATCCAACTTTATGATATCCTTGAACTAATAAGAATCTAATAAATAGTTTTTTCTTCGTTATAGATTTTCTTGGTGCGTCCATTGCAATGCTTGTTGCAATGAACTTTGGACTAGTATCACGTATTATATCAGTGTATCAACCAGATCCACAGACTGTAATAAATGCATTTTGTAAAGCACGTACCTATTTCGGTCAATCTAGTGTCATGTCATATCGTTGGATGTTAACTATGGCTTGTATTGATCGATACACTTCATCAACAGCTAATGCTCGTATACGCAAGTTCGCTAATCCATATATTGCTTGTCGCGTTATATTCATTATTGTCATCATTTGGATAATAGTACCTTTTCATAACTGGATTTTTCTCAATATCAATGGAACCACATGTGTTTGGTCATCTTCTGCTGTTGCAACTTATAATAGTGCTTTGGTGGTTATATGTGGTTTTATAATTCCAGCAACAGTTATGATTACATGTGCTGTGCTCATTAACAATAATCTTAAGCATAAACGTAAACGTCGTCGAAATAATGTTTCCACGTCAGCTGCTAGTGAAGCGAATCGTTTACTCAGAGCACGTGATCGACAAACATTACTCATGTTATATGTTGAAATCAGCTGTTATATAATCTTTACATCACCTTGGGCAATTTTTACGGTATATAATGCACTGTCGCTCTCTGTCCCAAACAAGACGAGCGATCGAATAGCTGTCGAAGGATTTCTTCAATTTCTGACCGAAACTACCGCTTATTTATATTCAACTTTGTCATTCTATTTATATACATTAGCATCGCGTACATTTCGTCAAGAGTTAGTCAAAGTTATATCTGCTATTATGAATAGCAGAAATCAATGCTGCAATCGTGCTGGGCGTGTTGCCCCATTTTAAGCGACTGAAATAGTAAATCAATTATGATCAATCAGCTCTAGTTTATAAAAGTTGATTAATCTTCAATAGAACTTCTATTCAAATTTTATTTATATCATATTGCATAGCAGAGACTTTTATCAAATAATCTCGCAATTGTCCTTCAGTGAATCTTTATTACCGGTAGATGACAGACATTTGTTAGTATTTTTGTCGTTACATATATATTTTACTCAATTTTTGTTCAATTAATGTTGTTAAATGTTGTATCGTTCTTTGAAATAAACTTCAAATAAAAATCTCAAGTGAATGCTTGAACATCAAAACTCAAATGTTTAGATATACAACAATATCATCTGTATTTAGGTGTCAACATAGATAAAGAATAGATTAGAACGGGACCATTTAATTTAATCTGATTTAACTAAGTGTTTTATTTATTTCGTTCTCGTAGACAGGAGTCTTGCAAGCATAAATTGTCTGCTTGATTGCTTGTGTATCTGCACTTACTGATTGGTTTTAAGGACTTCTGGCCACGAGCGTATACGGGACTAATCCTTAAAAGAACTAGCTATATATTTATTCATATTAAGAGAACGATCTCAATTTACAATTTTTCTGTAGTATCAAACTTGAAACTTGATTTTAAATTTAAATTAATACATATATATGGTAGGTACACCATCAACTGTTTGAAATGATTGTGCACCACATACATAGCTTTATCATTGTATCCTAGACCAGTATTTATGTCCAACGTTATTAATTGGAACGTCAGTATCCTCAGCTTCAGTATTAATTTTATAATACTGCTTAAATTAGTAAATTGTCTATTCAAAACCTGATATTTCATTTAGAATCGGTCTCAAGCTAGACATATTCATTCTACTGCATTGCACATAAGAAAAAAAAATAAGAAAAACCAGAATGGTTTAATTTATTTTTCGTATTTATTAATTTATAATTTGACAAAGAAAAAGGAATGTATAAAGAAAGCTTGTCAATACTTCGATGATGATGTTTTACTGTTCTTATTCAATTTTTTAACGTGTACGAATAAGAGCTGGAAATGCAATAGCATAAGGTGATTGCGATCCTTGAGATCCTTGAAAGAATTTTGACCATTTTCTCTTCATTTCTCGTTTCTTGTGAAAATACGCTTCTTTGTCAATGTTATCATTGTTATCAGGACGATTCACTAAGAAATAACCAGGATTATTAGCAAATTGTCCAAGCATAGTTGCAAAAGATCGTTCGTCATCTTGCTCTTTCGCATCTGTTGGTAATGCAAAAACAGGATTAAATAATTTGAAATATACTATTGTTAGTACCAATAAATATAAACCAGTTTGGGTAAACATTTTTTCTTGCTTTGGTATGTACGTGTGTTGTGAGAAATGATTTAAATACTAATGAATATTCAAGAAAATGAAAAGATATAAAGAGTAATAAAAGAGAAAGAGAGAGTTTGATTTGAAAATTTCCGTCATCTGTCAAATGATGTGATGAAAAGATAAAAGAAAAATGAAGATACTTAAATTTTAATTTGATGGGTACTGACAGAAGTAATATATAATAATATCTATGTATTAGGGAGGTCACTTTATCTTTCTTTCATAAACAAAAAAGATAATCTTATTTTTATAAGATAAAGATAAAGAAAAAGCTACTTTATTTGCAAAAATAAAGTTAAAATAAAGAATAAAGGATTTTTTTCGCTGAGGAATACAGACTAAAAACAAATCTAAAGAAGTTTTTTCCCATAAGTCTTTTATGCCTTACATTCATTTACTAGGATTATTCCATATAAGAATGTTGCTGGTGACAGGAAAAAACTGCTATCAATATTACCTCTTATTATATCAATTATTTATCTATTTACCAATCACCTGAAAATATATTCTGATGGCCGAAGTCTTGCTCTATAATTCCATGATATTTCATAATTCTTCAAACGATACTCTAGCACTTAAAACATAGCAAAAACAACGAGTAGAGCACGACTTGGACTATCAGAATATATAGAAAAAAAAATTTCTCAAGCCATTTGTAAAATAAAATAGAGTAGACGTCATTACTTTTGGTATACACTAAGTACTATGCATTGATGTTTTGTATGAATCAGTGATTATCGTTTTTTTGTATTATTTCTTTACAAAGAATTTAGAAAATAAAACCATCTAATACAACAAATAAAATTTATTCGTAATCAAGATAATGTTGAACTCAAATTTATTGAAAATATCCAACATGCAGTACAATGATTAAACAATGTACATAATATAATATTATGAAACTTCTTTTTAAATTAGAGTTTTATATATTTTCTTTCAACCTCAAAAGTTATATAGAAAACAGAGCTGTGCAAAAAGCGTTACGTCAAGCCCCGTAATGCCCCGTAACGCCCCGTAACGCCCCGTAACGCCACGTGGATATGGGGACAAAATGGGTACGTAATATGTGAATTAGCTAATTCATATATTACGTACCCATTTTGTCCCCATATCCACGTGGCGTTACGGGGCGTTACGGGGCATTACGGGGCTTGACGTAACGCTTTTTGCACAGCTCTGATAGAAAAGCAAATTATATTTTTATGTTAAAATGGTTTTTTATAATTTTCTTTTGTTTCTTAATAAATGTTGACTTTTTACAAAGCAATCATCAACTAATTAAAACTGTACTAGTTGCATTATTTTGATACGTATGAAAATGAAAAGACATAACTGAATGATATCGATTTACATTTTATTTATTCTGAATAAGGAAAAGAAAATAACAATCAAACTATGTTTATTTATCGATTCATAGTCATGTTATTTTTCTTCTTGAATTCATCGACGTGAACGAAGAAGAGCTGGAAATGCAATAGTATAAGGTGAATTTGGTCTTTGGAAGAATTCATACCATTTCTTCATTATACTTCTTTTTTTCTGATAATACATTCCATCATTGTTCACATCATCATCATCATCATTATCATAAAGTGGATGATTAGCCAACAGATAATCAGGATCTGAATCAAATTGTTCAGACACAGCTATAGATGATCGTTTTTCATCTTGATCTTCGATATTTCTCGTTGTTGATGGAATAGAACTAGCTGTATTGAAATATATAATTATTATTAAGATAAAGCATAGGCCAGTTTGTGTAAACATATTTTTTCGTATGTATAGAAGTATATGTGTTTCCAGAAAAGTTTTAATGACAATGAGCAATGAAACAGTGTAAATAAATATATGTAAAGAACGAAGATAATTTGATTTGAAACTCTTTATCATCTATCAATTGATACAAAGACAAAAAAAGATGAAAGTACTTGAAATTTAATTTGACAATGAATGAAAAGATATAAACGCAGATGTTGAGTATTAATTGAAATATACTTGAAAATTGAAGTATGACATCGTCAATTTTTTTTATTTTATAAATAAAATGAATGAAAATTAATATTTATATTTACCATGAGAGGGCGTGGGTGTGATTATGATTTACTCTTCTTCTAGTTTCACTCATACCCTCAAATAAAGTCTCAAAAAAAGTAATAGATAGGGCAACTCAAAACTAGTGTCGTCACTATCTTATTTTTTTTTTGTAATAAATCAATATTTTCCAATAAATCTTCATAGGAAGAAGATAAAAAAAAATGACGATTTTCAGTATTGGAAATAGTAGATAAGGATCTATTGAACAATGTATTATAAGCGTTTCAAATACTGATTTCTAAAATATATTTATTTAATTTCACAGTTTAAAGATAGTTTGAATCTATAGTTGATACTTGAAAATCAACTATAACTAAATTATCAAATCGAATTGTTATTAAAAAGATCAGCTAAAAACTTTACAAAAAAAAAGATTTTAAGAAATGTTGTAATATATGATTGAATACATTTTTATGTTCTCTTTCTGACGTCATAACTTACAAGTTTCTATCTTATGTTTTTGAAAAGCTATTAAAAAACCCTCATGCATCGTTTTTAAAATAAAAGTGTTTTTTACCATGGCACATGTAAACAAAACAAATCTTGTCATAATTTTATTATTAAAATATCACTTAAATTATAATTAAATAGCACAGACAAATATATACTATAATACTCTGTATCACGAAGTACCGAAAAAGAAAATTTCTTTGAATTTATTATGCCAATCAAATATATTTTTACAATCGAACTGTGCATTTATTTCGATTAATTAAATAGGCAAGCAGATAATCAAACGAATACTTTTCAATTTCAAACTTATTTCTCTATAAAATAGACAAAAAAAAGAACAGAAACGTTGAATATTGGTATTTCTGCATAGTAGTATTACTCTTCGTGTTCAATCCATCGACGTGTACGAATAAGAGCTGGAAAGGCGATAGGATAAGATTGAGAATCTTGGAATAGCTGAGACCATTTCTTTCTCATATCTCGCTTCTTATCAATAGCTACACCTTTGTCATACTTAATGTTGTTATATGGATAATGAGGTGGAAAATAACCGGCATGAATACCAAATCGGCTGAGCAAACTTGCGAAAGATCGTTTTTGTATGTGTTGTTCTACATCGGTCGGTGATGCAAAGATAGAATTGAATAGATTGACATATAGTATTACCATTATCATTAAATAGAAACGAGTTTGTGTTAACATTTTGTTTTCTATATATTAATATATGAATGTTTGTATATGTGTATAATAAGAAATGGTTTGAATACTAGTGAGTAATCAAAATATATAAAAGAACAATGTGAAGAAAGAGGAAAACAATTTGATTTAAAAGCTTCCGTCATCTGTCTACGGATAGGAAGACAAAAAAAAATGAAGATACTCAAAATTTAATTTGATAAGAAGTCATAGAGGTAGTTTATGAAAAATTATGAGTGCATATTATATTATTCCTTTATGATTAAGTATATGTATAATAAAATAAAATTTATTAAATAAGATAATGGCGCTTATTTGAAATAATATTCCTGTTAAAAATAATGAAATTTTCGTGATAAAGTATTGATGATTTTTCATATTTAAATCGATTGTCCGTCTGTTAATAAAAAGATTAATATTAATGAATTAAAAACACATTGTAGTATGACACTTTATTTGAAACCTAATGTTATGATATAAACGCAGATATTGAGTATCAATCGAAATATACTTAAAAATTGAAGTATGACATCATCAATTTTTTTTATTTCATAAATAAAATGATTGAAAATTAATACTTATACTGACCATGAGAGTAATTGTATATCTTATAAGTTTTGTTTTAAAGTTGTTACAAAGAAATATTCTGTGATAACTTTAAGAAGATTTTCGGGCGAAATCAAAAGGTTATGTTTTATATAGTAAATGAAATAGAGCTACGATTATAGAAACCTAACTTATGTATAACAGTGGTTAATCTTTAATGGTACCCCATCGGCACAGTGACGAACGGTTAGTCGCCGTTTACAAAGTTTCATCGAAAAACATGTAGTTTTCTTTTAACTTAGTTGTGTGAATTAGTTTTACTTGATTTTTACAATGTTCTTGACGTACATTCTACACAAAGATTTACTAACTAAATTTACATAAGATTTAACTCTGAACTTTGTAAACAATTTTCGGATAAAACTCGAGTTCGAAAGTAAATTATATTCGATGAAGTTGGATAATATCTAAAAACTTATTTCTACAAATACAATTTGTGTCATTAAGCGAATGACACCGTGTCTAAATAGTATATGAAAAACGATTTGAGCTGCTTAAAACTAACTAAAGATGATTGAAATCTAACGCGGAATGATCGGAGAGAATATATATTCTAATTCATTTCGTGTAAAGAAGAATCAGTGTCTAGTGATGATGGATTATAGTCTATTGTAAATGTGTTTATCATTGATAATCAAAATAAATCTAAAGATTTCAGTAGACGATAAAGTGAGTCATACTGACAAATGTTATTGTATATTTAAGGTGTAGAAATTCATATAAATGAATTGATTAGAAAAAACACAAATTACAATAGTTATATAGAATCTTCGTTATTTAATTAGTTTTTCAAATTTTTTTATATAAACAAATAAATATCTGGTCCCTTAATTCAATGCACAATATTGTTCATATCATTGACTATTGACATTTATATTTGTTTGTTTTTATTAATAAAAAAAGATAAATCTTTGAAAATATTTTTTATCTATATATTATGATGATTTTTTTAGTAAGAAATGTATGTTGTCGTACCATCCATATGATAATACAAAATAGCTAAAGTCTGAATACTTGATGCTTTTCGCTTCGACTCTATTCTGAATTGAATATATTAGCAATACAATTACGGTTTTGTTGAGTAAATACTTTATTTTTTAAAATTTCTAAAACACATAAAAAGTAAGGGTGTGATATACCATGATGTAATATTTTAGTATGATTAATATGCGTATAAAGTTCGATGCTTGGATGTGCTAAAGAGATGAAAGCTAGGTAGAAATTACAATAATTTGTTGTCAATTCTAGAATCTTTATTTAGATAAAAGAAAATTGTTTTTGCTGAAAAAACGTAAAAGTTCTTGAAAAGTGGAGGAGATGATCAACGATCCTCTTCTCCTTGATGGCGAGTTAATACTAACAATGTTTATTGCTAAATATGCGAGAATAAAAGGGTGTGATTATGACTTGCTCTTTTTCTAGTTTCATCCATATCCTCAAAATATTACAATCATGCTCTACAGTAGTCTAAAAAATAATAATAGATAGGGCAATCCAAAGCTAGTGTCGTCACTATCTTATTTCTTTATAATAAACCAATATTTTTGAATAAATTTTCATCGAAAGAAGGTAAAAAAAAGACGGTTTTCAGCATTGGAAATAGTAGATAAAAACGTATCGAATCATATAGACGTGACCGACAGAACATCAAATGCGTCGACCGACATAGTATCGTATACCGTCACAGACGTGACCGACATATGTTCTTGTATCCTCGTCACAGACATGACCAATAGAGTACCATAGGCCTTGGTATAGGTGAAGATACGTGAGTAGTTTCTTTTATCTTAATCGATTTCCCTCTTGAATTTTGTAGCAAATATTAAAATTCTAATCAAGTGAGTTCAACAAATGGAATCCATTTTAATCCCGCCAGGGATTGCACTAACGGGTTTTTAAAATAAGAGTATTTGTTATCATGGCACATCTAAACAAAACAAATCTTGTCATAATTTTACTATTCAAATATCATTTAAATTATAATTAAATAGTACTATCACAACGTAAAAAAAGAATAAAACAGTTTCATATAGGTATTTCTTCATAGTAGTATTACTCTTCGTGTTCAAATTCACCGACGTGTACGAATAAGAGCTGGAAATGCGATAGGATAAGATGATTGAGATTCTTGGAATATTTGAGACCATTTCTTTATCATATCTTCTTTGTTATAAATAGCTACATCTTTGTCATACTTAATGTTGTTGTACGAATAATTAGGTGAAAAATAACCGGCATGAATACCAAATTGGCTGAGCAAACTTGCGAAAGATCGTTTTTGTATATGTTGTTTTATATCTGTTGGTGATGCAGAGATAGAATTGAATAGATTGACATATAATATTACCATTATCATTAAGTATAAACGAGTTTGTGCCAACATTTTGTTTTTTATACAATAATATATGATTGTTTGTATATGTATATATATAAGAAATGATTAGAATACTAGTAAGTAATCAAAGTATATAAAGGAACAATGAGAAGAAAGAGGAAAACAATTTGATTTAAAAACTTCCGTCGTCTGTCTTACGGTTAGAAAGACAAAAAAAATGAAGATACTTGAAATTTAATTTGATAAGAAGTCATAGAGGCAGTATATGTAAATATCATGAGTACATGTCATATTAGTTCATGATATTAAGTTTTTTTATTTTATTCCTTTATGATTAAGTAGATGTATGATAAAATATAGTTTGTCAAAAAAGATAGTTGCTCTCATTTAAAACAATATTCTTGTTAAAATGATGAACTATTAATGACTTTTCATATTTGCATCGAATGTCCGTCTGTCAGTAAAAAGATTAATATTGATGAATTGAGAGCACATCGTAAGATGAAAGTTTATTTGAAAGGTAATGATATGATATAAACTGAAAAATAACTATGTAATTTTTAGATTATTACAAGTAAGTATCAATGCAATAAAACATTTATGAGAGTTTGTTTTTTAAATGTAATTTTTAAATTCATGTTGATTTACATTTTATTTATTCTGAATGAGAAAATGAAAATAACAATCAAACTATATTTATCTATCTACTCATAGTTATGTTATTTTTCTTCTTGAGTCGATCGACGTGAACGAAGAAGAGCTGGAAATGCAATAGCATAAGGTGAATTTGATCTTTGGAAGAATTCGGCCCATTTCTTTCTTAAATTTCGTTTCTGATAATGCATCGCATCGTTGTTCACATCATCATCATCATCATCATTATCATAAAGTGGATCAGCATCAAATAGTTCAGATGCAGCTATAGGTGATCGTTTTTCATCTTGATCTTCGATATTTGTCGTTGTTGCTGAGGTAGAATTAACTATATTGATATGTATAATTATTATTAAGATAAAACATAGACCAATTTGTGTAAACATATTTTTATATATGTCAATGTGTAGAAGTTTTAAGAAAACGTTCAACGCTAATGGATCATGATGACGTAGAAAGAAATATATGTAAAGAAAAATAAATTTGGTATAAAGATGCTCGTCATCTGTAAAAATCATAGAAAGACAAGAAAAAGATGAAGATACTTGAAATTCAATTTGATCGTAATTAACAAAACCATAGAATGAAAAGATATAAACGTGGGTGTTGAGTATGACGTTGTCAATTCTTTTGTTTTATCAGGAAATTATCGGATATTAGTAGGTATATTTATCATTGAAGTAATCATGTGTTTTATATGAAAATCATTTATGTGTATTTTAATTAGAAAAAAAAGATAGTGATTATTCTAAATACATAGTTATACGAGCAAAGAAGTTCAAAATGAATTTTTTATATACATCCATTATCTATTTATATTTAGTTTCTCGTAAGAGATATTAAGTTGAAGAGCAAATATATATATGTAAGATATCAAAGGTAGTAAATATAGAAAGAAAGATGAATATACTGTTTCTTGTTTTTTTTATAAATAAATTAACCATCTCTATTAGTTTAAATATGCTACTTATCTGAAGTGGCTGCTATTAAGTAGTTGGCAGTATCACCGAGAAAGTTCTCAGAAAATATTAGTTCTATTTTTAGTAAAGTACAGTACCATTCGAACTTTTAAAACTAATTTGATTTTGAATGTGTGAATGCAAATCTATCTATTAATTTCAAAGATTTTTTTTTCAAATAAAAAATAATTTAATCTAGATCATGAAATAATACTAATCGATTTATATGATTGTTTGATTAAATACATTCACTTGAATAGATAATAATTAAAATATATCAATTCATCTTTTCTTTTCGAAATCTATTAAATTCAAGATGAACATATATATATTTCTTTGATTCTTTATGTATATAAGACAAATAATTTTATATATTCGAAAACATTCTATAACAAAAAAATATACACTCGAGTGTCTGTATGTTTATGAGAATATATTAAAAGATCGATTAACTAAATTTCATTGTGACAATATTAATAATAAATTAACGATGTGATGTCATATGACGTGTTAAATGATGTCTTTCTCGAAATGTTTCATAGCAAATATGACAAGTAAGATTCATTAATGCTGTAGAATTTGTTAATGTTTTTCTTGTTGTTGGTGTTGGTGTGGTTGTTGTTGTTGATTCTTGAGATATTTGATAATGATGATAACAATTCCGTCTTGTTGCATGATGAACACGAATATGATGAACTAATTCACTTGTCAGACGAAATTGCATAGAACATTTTGCACACCAATTTGATGCATTTGCTAATGCTGTTGTTGATGATGATTGAGATAAATGATGTATTGCCATTAACCATGGATTTGCTGAAGATATTGATGTTGTCCTAGGTATTTGAGAATTTTTTGATGATTCATTTGTTGATTGAAGAACATTTGCTATACCAAATGGTAATGATGATGATTCTGATCGAAAAATTTTCGTTGGTAATTGTCGAGTTTGATTTGAATCATCATCTAAATTATAGAAAAAATATTAGAATACAATAAATTAATGTAAATTGTGCATGTTTTAGTTTGTTTTTCATATAGATCTCGAATTTACCCTTGAAAATCTCTCACCTTGTTTTCTTTTATTATTTGTTATTAATGTTGTCTGATCATGATCATCGTTGTTCATATTTTTTTCAATCGATTCCATCGAGCTCGATAATCTTGTCAATCTGCGCGCTCTCTGTATTAGAGATGATGTACCCTATGTTGCTAGTTGTATTACTGATGCGTAAAAAACAGCTCGACTTGCTAGCCAAATCGGCTAAGATGAAGAGAAGAAGAAGAAATAAAAAAAATGTGTCTTCTCTCTATTTCTTTATCGTCGCGTCCCAATGGGACTCATCAATAATGGTGATGATGATGATCGCTACAGTCCGTTTACTAATCTGTTCTTCTTCTCGTTCACTCAAGTCTAATGTAATCACTTTGCAGAGAGGGAGAATTCCCTCTTGTCGACTGCAAGAGCAATCACATGAGAATAATTACTAAGACACACACACACACACACAACAATCAGCTTTTACAAGACTGAAAAACGGCATATGATTGAACCGATCGACCATCGTGCGTATATTCATCTTTAATAAATAATCCATTGGGAATTCATTTTTTTTTCAAAATGTCCTAGTACTCAATGTCAACTTATATTATGCATATAAAAATAAGAAGAATATTCTTAATAATCACTTATTTTAGAGATCGAAACTTCAATCAATATAATTTTCTATTTTAGACTGAATGTAAAAACATTCGTCTTATCTCTCAATTTTTTATTTTTTTTAATAACAAAACAATGAGAGAAAATAAAAAAAGTTCTTGTTCTTTTTCTTTTTTTCGATGTTATTAATGATTTTGTTGGTTTATTCATTGTCAACATTGGCAGTGAGTAATCCTAAAAAAAATAATCAATGTTTATATATATACATAAATAGTCAAAATGAAATTAAACCTTTGAATGATGGTACTCGAACAAATGTAACCAATGTATAAAGTTTATGTGGTGAATCTTCATCTTCATTACGTTGTCGAGCTAAACGAACTCGAACACGATATGGAACATGACTAAGAAAAAAGCACAATATTTTTCCGTAAAGAAAAAAAAATGAACTCACTTAATTCCTTGTGACCAAATTTCCTTGTTTAATTTTGAATCAATACGAACATCAGGTGTTTTCATCATTTTTTCAGCGAATTTTTTTAATTCTTTGACTGCACGTGGTGCGCGTTTTTTAAATGCACTATTTCAAAAATCGAAATTAAATTATTTATATAATAGTTTTATTTTAACTTACACGCCATGTAATCGTTTATGTAAGTTGACAGAGTATTCCCGAGTAACAACTTCATTGGTAATTTGTTTTTTACTGCTGCCACTTTCACCTTTTTTACCTTTTGTATTGGCCATCGTTTCAGGTCAGATGTTTTATAATCTAAAACAAAAGTACATGTTCCCAAAATGAGAAAGAAATGATTTTATAGAATTCTATTTTTTGTTCTTTTATCGTTTTAACGAATAGACCAGATACATAAAAAGTAGATATAACCGATAGAAACAGAGAAGTTTAGACTGAGAGAATTATTAAGCAATAAATACATATAAACAAAGATAATTTCTATTCGAATGGTAAAATATCAGCATCACTAAATAAAAAACAAGAAATTTTATTTGTATGAAGAAAATCTATACACTTTACCTTCGAATAAATGGAGAAATAATATTATTATCATTATCATTTGATCGTATTGGGTTTGTAGTTGGTTGTTCTAATCCACCTAATAATATACTATTGACTTGATAATGAACTCCATCACCCCTTCTATTTAATTCAAAAAAAATTCAATTTTATCATAATTAAAAATGTATTTACGTTGTTGGTATTGGTATGATTGCTTTAAAAAATTTTGTTCCAAATATTTCTTGAAAATTTCGTTTCCAACCCAAATTAAAACCTTCTTTTTGAGGTCCACTTTCAAATATAGGTGCACGAAATGATTCTAATTAATTTATTCCTCTATTAATCATATATAAAACTAAAAATAAATTTTCTTACCTATTGTTGTTCGATTTTTTCCCGTTAAATACAAATGATAAAAAAATAATGATGATATACTTATACCAAACATAATTGAAACAAAAAATACAAAAAATAAATGAAATTTTCCACTTGATGGTACTATATTATCTCCATTCTTTATATAAAAATAAAGATTAATTATTTAATTCATCTATTTTAATTTAATAACATACCTTTTCAATATTTGATACAATCTAAATTTAATATTAAATTATATAAAATATTTTGAAAAAAAATGAAATTATTTTACCTTCCAAAATTGAATAAAATATTCAAGTGAAGTTGCAGCAACATAAGTACAAAAAATCCAAGCCCAACAAAGAAATAAAACAAAAAATTTATAATTTCCATATGAAACACAACTATTTGTCCTGAAAACAAAGATAAATAAATATTCATTTATTTTAATATAGAAATTTTTACCATGGACAATGATGATCATATCTAAGAACACATTTTTCACATATTGAACAATGATGAGCTCGATCTGGTTTTATACATTGACATACAAAACAATAGCGAATACCTTTACAAATTTATTTTTTATTTATATTAATTTTCAGATCTAAGAATAACATACTCCCATCAAAATGACGTGTTAGTAAAGATAAATTAGCTTGACGAGAAATACGAACAAGTATAGCACGTCGTTCATCAATTGTTTGTGCACTTTTTATTTGTTGACCTTCAATATCGCTAATATAAAACTAATTAAAATAATTTATTTTGAAATAAATATTCAACAAAAGATTGAATTTTTTACTTCTTTAGGTGGACCAACTGTAGGTTGAAACATTGTTCGATAATAAGACCACAAAAATAGAATTAATAATGGATGATAAATACATAAATAAATCACTAAAGAATATAAATAATGACATCATTTCTTTGATTAAATTTTTGTTCGATATGAATATTATTAATCAATAATAGAGATAATGTCCTGTCTATTTTATATTCATTTTGCTATTTCTAATGATTATATATGTACAATCGAAAACATAACTAAATTTTATGATGAATACTGAGATTAAATAATGATCTTTACTTGTGCCTCGATACCAGTAGAAAATAATATTTACTATTTGAAATTCTTTACCTTTTTTTGGAACACTGTCGATTGTCACTAAAATATTTCGAAGAAATGTATTTTTCGAAAAAAAATATTTTCGATTTATAAACTTACAAATACACATTTGAACAACATAAGCATAATAAGACCATGTAACAAGTGCAAGTATAAATATGACTGGAATCCATTTTAATGAATCATAACAACACTGACGAGATGGTCGAGCAGTCATTAGAGAACCTAAAATAATATAGATTATGTAAGTAATAATAAATAAATAAATAAATAAATAGATAAAATATAAATTTATTAGTAAAAAGCGTAATGTGAGAAGATAAAATATGAGCACTTACGCAAATTTCTAAATCTCGAGATGTACGTAAAAAAAACGGATTGAAAATCTCGTTGTTCTTCACTCTCCAATAAACCATTAGTAGACTAATATCAAAATTTGAGAGCAGAAAGAAAAATAATTGATCAACTATCTCGCAAGCATATATAACAGATGCAACTAATATTCATTTATAAAACTCACTTGTTCAATATCTTGATTTGATGGAAGAAGTGGTTCTAAAACAAGATTTTCATTCTAATGTAAAAAACAAACAAATGTTAATCAAAATTAATATCAAAAAATCTTGTTTCCTATTTACTTCTTGATGTAGATTAGTAAGAACTGTTGATGAAGACGAACGATTATTCATTATTATTATTCTTATGCATTATAAACTAATCTCCTTTTCGTACGTGCCTGATTTACTATTTGAGCAAGTATAAATAAATAAATCTAAATGAAAATTAGATTTCAATTTCGAAATTTAATGAACATCTAATATCTATTGAAATAAATGAATCGATAAGAAAAAAATATTCAAAAACAATAAAATAGATAGATATTCATTTCTATGGATTTATGCTAGATTTTACCTCGTAGAATATATGAACTTCAGATCAAATAAAATTTTATGATTATTGATTAATACAAAAAATGTTTTTATTTATCAAAAAAATAATCAATAAAAAAACAATAAAATGATAAAAAAAATAAAATTTATAAAAAATATTTTACATGGATGTCGCTAGTGCAAATTAATATTATCAAAAACATGTTTTTCACAATCAGATGAAATATCCAATTTTCGTTCTACGTGCACAACACGCTTACCCTGACATCATTTTTTCTTTTACATTTTGTTTGCATCTACTTCCTACCAGACGTCATAAAATAAGTCAGGCATAAATGCAGACGACGATGAAAAACACTTTATCCCATTGGTATTTTCCATTGTTCTTGATGCTTATTAACGGCAATAATGTTCTTTGCTCTTTGTTTTAATATGATATAAATTCTAGTGCTTAAAAACAGTTATATTATAGATTATTTTAATAAATTTAACGGTGAAAACAGAAAAATGGCTGAAGATAAAGTAAGAGTACAAACCAGTGATGGTGAAATACTTGAAGTTGATTATGCTATTGCTAAACAATGGGCACCTATTAAAAATATGTATGAAGGTAAGTTTCTTTATATTAGAAAAAAAAGAGTTTATTTTTATATATAACTCTATATTTTAAGTCTTTGGTACTCTTGACACAAAAGATAAGCCTGTTGAATTAAGTAATGTTAATACCGAAACATTAAACAAAGTAAATAGATTTGTTTTTTTATTATAAAATAACATATTTTTCTCTAATAGATTATAAGTTGGGCTGATCATTATAAACAAAGTTCAGAAGATGCCGATGGAGATGACGAGCCAAAACCAAAAAGAACTGTTGATTTATCCGATTTTGATAAAAAATATTTTGAAGTTAAACAAGAAATGCTTTTCGAGATTATTATGGTTTGTTTATATATTTAGACAAAAACTCCCTAATCATTTTTTTTCTTTAAATTTGTAGGCCTCAAATTATTTAGGTATGACAGTTTTACTTGATAAGGCATGTAAAACTGTAGCAGATATGATTAAAGATAAAACACCAGAAGAAGTTCGCCAAAAATTTAACATTCCCAATGATTTACCACCTTTAGAAGTTTGTTATTGATTAAATTCTATTTAGAAAAAAACGAATAATTTCTGTTTTCTTTATTTAGACAGCAAAATAAACATTGATTTCATTGGATTAAAAACGTTTTGCGTAATTAATAATCCAGACATTTTTCTATTTTGCTTTTGTATGTGAGTCATCCATCGTCTATACTTGTGACAGGCTGGCAACTTTTTCTAATATTTTATAATAAACATAAATAAATTAAATAATAAGTGTATTCAAGATTTCAAGCAATACAAGAGAAGGAAATGAAATAATCAGATATAGAAATTGATTGATTAACTTCATTAGAATAAATCATTTTATAATTATTAGAAAGAATCTAATCATAATCAATATTTGATTGTATGAGGAAGAAAAACAAAAATCTATGAGTTCTTTTGAACTTATTTTATTTAATCTAATAAAATTTTAAAAAGAGATGATTATCTTTTTTTCTAATGAAATATCATGAATTGTAAATATTCGTTCGGATACTAGTTTTTAAGATCAAATCCAGATAAAAGTGGATAAAACAATTATAGTTTTCTAAAATTAAAATATACATAGCACGATAAACGTCAAATGTGTTTATGTTATATTGTTGGAAAAAATTCTTTCCCACTCTAATGCTATTTAATCATAGTTTATAGCAAATTATCAGTAAGTAGAGATATGATATCAGACTTTCATTTCAATGTTATCTGCATACCATGTTTTAATATAATTTTCATATCATACTTCGGTGTAGTAATAGACTTGGTGTAAAATACGATCACATCGCAATAGAAAGGAGGAACAACTCTTGCCAGTTAATGTATCTTGGTTATTTCTTTGATCGTCTTATAGGTATTTAGCTATGAAAAATTATCCCTTCAATTGAGTAGTTCCAAATGCCAAAAAAATAGTTGTTTTGTTCAAAGTTAGAGCATGATAAATTCCAGTCACTAGAAAACTCAGATTTCTTCATATCATTATACGATGAATTATCTAAACTAAAGAATGTTCCCACGAACATCTAGGTTTAATTACAGAATCAAAGAGTTAGGAATAAATTAGGAAAGTGGTACCGTTGTAAGGCCTGTTATTACTACAATTTATATGATCATTTTGATGTAAGAAAGCATTTGTCATACAGTAATGAGACAGTGATAAACATGACTATATTTAATATAAATGACCTACAAACATTAATATTTACAAAAAAACAAGCTCATTTATTTTTTTAAGATAATATCTGAGGAAAAAGGTAATGTTTCTAATCCACTTGATTAGTTAATATAATAAACAACAACATTTGACTCATTATTATTGATTGTATATTCAATATGGAATATTAACAATATTACATTAGTTGTATTCGTTTTAATAGAAGTTGTAGAACTTCAATTCAACAAGCTAACCGTCATTAAAAGAATCTCTAATAAATCAAAATGAAATCTATACATTGTCTATTATGTGAAAATATAAGTTTCTTAATTTTATCAGAATCTTAATCGTCATTTATTACAAATACTCATTATAATTACATCTATTATTACGAAAGACTATGACGCAATTACTTCTAGATGTCACTAGTAGCAAATATGACGAATATTAATAGTTTCGAATTTTCTAGAGAAACGTATTATTTGTAAAAGAATTGATTTTTCCAATCTTTTTTTCTAAAGGATTAAAACCGTTGTCAAGCTTTATAAATATTTGCTTATTGATTGGATAAATTGAATTCATACATATGACTGCTCATCACAACAAAAAATATAGACCGTTTCGTTATTATTTTTTGTTTAACCTTTCTCATTGTCATATATTTCCTCCTTCATATTTCTAATAATATTTGACATTGTATCAAAAGATAACCGTACAATTAAATATTTTCCTTCTTATTAATATGAGTAAGTTAATTAGTAGAAAAATAATTTCTTTTTTTTCTAATTTAAATAAATATTTTATTAATAATAGATGATGATGATTTAAATCGAAATGCCCCTGAAATAATAAACCTTGACGAATCAATTCAAGATGAAACATCAAATACTCGTCGACGTCGTTCATCATCAACATCCTCTCAAGAAATTGAAACATTACCAAGACCAATAACAGCATCAAATAAACGCAAAAAAACAAATGGAAATGATATTGATGATGATAATGATGATAAAGAAGATATTTCACGAACAATAATTCAAAATGATGCTGAAGTTTGTCCAATTTGTCTTGAAGAATGGACTAATTCTGGTCTACATAGACTTGTTGCAACTGAATGTGGTCATTTATTTGGCAAAATGTTTGTTCAATATTTAATATGAAATAGAAATGAGAAATTTATTTCTTTTTATTTTTAGATGTATTGAAAAATGGCTTAAAACATCTCCTAAATGTCCTCAATGTCAATCAACAGTGAAAAAGAAAGAATTACGAAGAATCTTTTGTCGAGCACTTCAGGTATTGGATACAAGTGAACGAGATAATGCAATTAGAGAACGTGATCTAGAAAAAAAAGCAAGAAAAAAACTTGCATATGAAAAAGCCGAATTACAATTAGCTTATGATATTATTAAAGATCAATTAAAACGTTTACAAAATGAACATGATCGTTTATTAAAGTAAATTTTTATTAGAAAAAAACAAACAAACAAAAATCATTGAATATTTTTATATAGGTTAACACAAGGTTTAACTAATCTCGGAGACACAATGGATGATTCTTCTCGACCTTCAGCAGATATGACAACAATAAATTTAGCTCCACCACTACCATCATTTAATATGCGATTAGAAACTGTAATTAAAATACCTGAAGTATGTAAAAGATTTTTATTAAAATATTGTTGAAAATAAACAACATTTTTAGGGAATGTGTCGTGTTCTTGCTTATGCTCCATCACATCAATGGCTTTTTGTTAGTCAACCAACAAATAACAGTTTATATCCTGGTTATGGAATCAAAAAGGTTATTAACAATTTTCATTATCTTGTACTAGTCTTATACGTTCTATAATATTTATAACAGAAAACATTATCAGCCTTTCGATGATTTGCGAAAATATGAGAGCATCTTTTTGAGAAATATATAAGATTTGTTTTATATAGAAAAAAGTGTTTTGCAATTAATTTGCTATACCTAGGATTTTTATGTCATGTTTGTTGTGTAATTCTATACATGCACATAGGAGATTAACATAGGCTTTATGTAAATATAAACTAGTATGTAAAAACAATAAGAAACCTTCATGTTATACATTAAATCCGATATTGATCAAAACTAAATTTTATTATTGAAATTCTAAGAATAGTTAAGATTTATAATAGTGTACAAAAAAAGGTGTTCTTAACTTCTCCTTTCCTGACTAATAAAAAAAGTGTCATTTTATAATTCTTCCAGTTCTTGAGTTTCATGTTGAATAAATCTCAATTATATATAATATAATTTTTTTATAATAAATAGATCAGTCTAATTGATGGTGGTCGTGCTCTAGACTATACAACACTTCGTCATACAAAACCAATTCGTGATATTCAACTCCATGGTGATCTATTATTATCTTGTGCTTGGGATAAAACAATGCGCATATTCGATTATACACGGAATACATTTAATCTTTTGTATGTTATTATTTTTGTTTTGTTTTTTAATATAAATTTTATTTTCAATTAAAAAACAGATGTGAATGTGCATCCCAAGTATGGAGTTGTGCATGGAATCTTGATGATCCAAATATAATTTATGCTGGATTAAATAATGGTCGTGTTCAAGTATTTGATCGAAGACAAATTCAAACAGGTGAAACAACATTATCATCAAGTATTGAAACATTAAGTTTATCAACAGCATCACCAATTGTTAGTTTACAATATATTCAACGCAATACAAATTTTCAATCAAGTGGATTACTTGTTGGAAGTAATGATAAAAGTGGATTTTATGAACATATACCAAATAGTGAATATCGTTATCATGCATTACCGATTGATAGTAAATTTTATTTTTAATTAAATTATTAAATATTTTTCTTTTTTTTGTTTTTGAAAAATAGAACATTTATCTAGTCTTCATTATGATTCAACAACAAATCGTTTATTAGCATCTTTTCGTCCACAATCAAGTCCAGCACGACATGAATTATATGAATTAATAACACGACCAATTGAAGATTCTGAACAATCATTTATTGTTTCTTTACAATTAATTCAAACATTCATTGGTTCAAGTATTAATATCGTTTTGTCAAGATCAAAAATTCTTCATAAGAATTTTGAAACTTATATTGTCGCGTCAGATAATGGATCACATGGTGTAAGTATTAAATGGTTTTTAATAGACAAATATGTTTGACAGAACTCTGATTTCGACGTTTCTGTTATAGAAAATATAAGAAAAAATATTTCTGCAAATAGAATCTCACAAACAGTGTAGAATTCGAGTATTTATTGTTTAATGTATGCTGGAAAAACATCAGTATAGAATATCCTTATTAGTGTATATTCAGAAAGTAACTATGAATAATTCATAGTGCGGACTAGGCATGCAACCAGTGCTAGTCCGACTGGATGACTAGTCCGACAGAGTGACTAGTCCAACTAGATGACCAGTTCGACAGGGTGACTAGTCCAATTGAATGACTAGTCTAACTGGGTGACCAGTCCGACTGGGTGACTAGTCCAACTGGATGACTAGATCGACTGGGTATGAAATTACTTGATTCGTTTTTTTTATTTATTTCCTATTAACTTGTGCTATCTCAAATTGAGATAGTGCAAGTTAGAAGGAGTGAATATATAATGAATCAAGTAAAACATATACCCAATCGAACTGTAATGGTGCAAATCAAGTGCGGACCACAATTTTGCTCATTTCTACTATCTCTTCGTAAAAATAATCGATAATCCTAGCTGCGATCAAGATCGACTTTAGCTTTTCAGAGATTCGAATCGATTCTTTTTTGATAAGACTAGATTTGTTATTATCTCGACATGTCATTCGAAGATATGATATTATTATATAAAATTTACTATTTTCTTTTTATATATTAGATTGAATTATGGAATATTCGACAACCATCTGAAACACCTTCATTTAAAGTTCCCACCCAATGTGATATAGTTGATGTATGTTTAACTCGTCAACATTTATGTGCATTAGCCGATAATCAAGTTCGATTGTATAAATGGACATAATTATCTGTTTTTCTTTTTGGTATCTGTTAACAATTAATTTATTCTTACTCTTATTATTTTTTTTTGTTCAGATGTGTATAGCAATCTCTTTCTCTCTCTCTCACTTTCTTTCTTGAACATATCTGTCAGATAGAACGGTTTTATATATGGATGGCTGAAATGATTATATCTTCTTTGTTTTTAATTAACAAACAATTAGTAAACTTAGATAATATATAAGAAAAGAGATCATTATCATTATTTCCTTTAATTTTTCATTTGTGAACGAATAATTAGAGTTTTAGGGAACTACTTTTTCTTTCAGATTTTTAATATTTAATTCAATTTTATAAGTGAATCAAGAAATAAAAACAAATGGCTGGTCATAAGATTAAATTACAATCAAGTGATGGTGATACATTTGATGTTGAAGTTGAAATTGCTAAACAATCTGCAACTATTAAAACAATGTTAGAAGGTAAAAAAATTCTATTAAATTTATTTTTTTTCTAATAATATAATTCATTTGTAGATCTTGGAATGGATGAAGAAGAAGATGTTATTCCGTTACCAAATGTGAATTCGGCTATATTAAAAAAAGTAAATTATTTCAATAATAAGAGAAAATGAAGAACTTTAAAATATATATCGGAAATGTTCGCGCTTTCATCTACTACTTAATTAGTCAGTAACTAATGAATATCGTTCGAACTATATGAGAAGAAAATCTAAAATTGTGTGGTCCAAGCTACATCTATGATAAAAAATTCCCATATCAGTTAGTGAAATATATAGTTTAATTTGAGTACTAAACTAATATATATTGTAATATTAAAAATATATAATTTAGGTAATTCAATGGGCAACTCATCATAAAGATGATCCACCACCACCAGAAGATGATGAAAATCGTGAAAAAAATACCAATGATATATCATCATGGGATCAAGATTTTCTTAAAGTTGATCAAGGAACACTTTTTGAACTTATTTTGGTTAATATCTTTTATTTCGAATTTTTCTTCATTATATTGATTTTATGTTTTATATTTAGGCTGCTAATTACTTAGATATCAAAGGTTTACTTGATGTAACTTGTAAAACAGTAGCAAACATGATAAAAGGCAAAGCACCTGAAGAAATTCGTCGTACATTTAACATCAAAAACGACTTCACACCACAAGAGGTTCTATTATTATTGTTTTTTTTTGGTTAATTTATTAATAAAATTTTCTTTTCTTTTTTTTCCTAATAGGAAGAACAAATTAAAAAAGAAAACGAATGGTGCGAAGAAAAATAAATCTACAATAAAATAGAAACTAGACTCTTTTTTTTTCGTTTGATGTGACGTTTTCTTTTTCTTCTTTATTACAGTTCTCGATACCTTGAAAATTCATGAATGTTTTTCTTTTTTTCTGTACTCTATACCATTAATGTATGTATTTCTTCTTTGATTTAACTCATCATTAAACATCTTATACTAATACATTTTGTCATTAAAATATAAAATATTCTTTTGAAATATTCAATGAAGAAAACATTTATTTTATTTTCGTTTGAGATCTTTAATGAAAAAACGAATAATAATTTTTGTAATATAAGTCTGATAAAATAATTGAATATTTCAAATATGATAAATCGACCACCGATTAAAAATAATTTAAATGAACAATTAAAAATTTATTATGCTTATCGAGATGAAGCAACACGAATTCATTTGAACAATAAAGAAAATCGATCATTACTTCAGTGAGATTTTTATGTCATTTTTTTATTCTCAGAGTCTATATATATATATAAATTATAATTTATTCATATCAGATTAACATTCCATCATATTCCTGATCAACCACCAAATATTCGTCGTCAAACAAGTTTAACACAAGTTGATTGTTTTAATACAAAAAAAGATTCAGTTCCTTTGAAAAAATCATCAATTCAAATAGATGAACCTCAGCAAAGCTCATCGACATTTAATCGATCGTCATCGTTAACTAATGAGCAATCATCTTCGTTCGCTAATGAACGACCATCATCATTCGCTGCGAAACGACCACCATCATTCTCTATTGAACGACCGCAACCGTTCGCTACTGAACGACCACGATCATTCACTACTCAACAATCATCATCACTTGCTACTGAACGGCCATCGTCATTTACTACTGAACGACCATCGTCATTCGCTACTGACCGACCAACATCATTTGGTACTGAACGATCATCTTCTTTCGCTACTAAACGACCACCATCATACACTACTGAACGACCGTCATCGTTTGCTATTGAACGATCATCATCTTTCACCACTGAAAGATCATCATCTTCAACAAAAGTTGATCAATCAGTATCAAATACAAAATGTCCTATCTGTCAGATACCATTCGATGCTGCAGGCATTCATCGTCCAGTGAATGATGCTTGTGGACATACAACATGTTTTCAATGTTTTAAAGCAGTAATGATACAAGCAACTGGATGTAGTTTATGTCAAAAAGAAGAAGAAGAACTTAATGCACAAATTTCCGACTATTCAGTAAGTGAAGAGAGAATATCATATATAATTAATGATCGTTTTTTATCATTTGTTTTTCTAAATGTTTATATTCAAAAATTAAATATATCATTATAGGATAGAATGAAAACAATTTCATAATGTCTATGACTTCATATTAGACTTAAACATAAGAAATAGTTGAAATTATTATTAATACATTGAAGATAAGTTTTTCGTGTATATGTTAAAAAGATATGAATATGAATAATTATTTGTTTCGTAAGCAATGACGGATTATTATACAATATTCACAAGGAACGAACAATAGATTGTAAACTATTGAAATCAAAATTTAATTGTTAGTATCAGTACAGTCACTCGAAGCCAGTATAGTTATCTGTTACTACGAAAATAAATTAAACCCATATGGAGTAGTTTTATATGACTCTAAATGACTATCGTAATCTCGAATTAGTTTTTATTCTATTCAATAATGTATTTAATTGTTAATACAATGTAACAGTACTTGAATAAAACATTTTTTTTTCTTTTAGCCTCCTAAATATGTTTCAAAACATAATCAATCACATGACTTAAATCATTTTGAAGACGCTATTTTTGATGATTGGTCACTTAGTCAATCATCATCTTCAAAACAAGCACTAAGAACAATAAAAAGTTATAATGATGTTAATAATACTGATGACATAGATTTTGAAACATATGGCAATATACCATCTATGAATGATGAAGTAGAATGTGATAAAGTAACATGGATATCAGCTGATGTTCACGATGATGGACCAGAATATCGTGATAGAGAATTTAGTCATACAAAAACAATGTTTGAACGTTTTCATGCTTTATTTGGTTTAAGAAAATTTCGATCAAATCAACAAGAAGCTGTCGATTGTGCAATTGAAAGACGTTATCATGTTTTTGTTCTTATGCCAACAGGTAAATAAATATATCAATAATTCTATTTGACATCTATTGTACATGTTGAATAGGTGGTGGTAAATCTTTATGTTATCAATTACCAGCTGTTCTTGATGATGGAATAACATTTGTTGTTTCTCCACTTCGTTCATTGATTCTTGATCAAACACAAAAACTTTCATCATTGGGTATTCCATGTGCTTCGTTAACGAGTGATCGAACACCTGCTGAAGTATCAGCAATATATGCTCAATGTTATTCATCACAATCTGAACTTAAACTTATTTATGTTACACCAGAAAAAATAGGTCAAAGTGATCAATTAAATAAATTATTTTCTCATCTTTATACGAAAAATCGTTTAGCTCGATTTGTTATTGATGAAGCACATTGTATATCAGATTGGGGTAAAAACAATTCAAATATATATATACATGTATCTTTTCTTAATATTTAGGACATGATTTTCGTCCTGATTATGTTAAAATTGGTAAGATGAAAAACAAAATATTTAATTTAATTTAATATTTCAATTAAAGGTACATTACGTGATCGATATCCTAATGTTCCATTTACACTATTAACTGCAACAGCAACTCCCCGAGTTCAACTCGATATGCTTAAACAAATGAAAATTGAAAGACATTTATCAAAATTATTTATTCAATCATTTAATCGAACAAACCTTGTTTATAAATGTTTTACTAAAGGAAAAACTGATGGAGCTTTAGCTCGTACAGTTCAATTATGTTTAAGTGATCAATTTGTTGGTATGTGTGGAATTGTTTATTGTTTTTCACGTATGGAATGTGAAAGAAGTGCAGCGTATTTATCACAAAGTGGAGTTACAGCACGAGCTTATCATGCAGGTTTAGAAGATCAAGATAGAGCTGATGTTCAAACACAATGGGCTAATGATGATTATCAAGTTATTTGTGCAACAATTGCTTTCGGAATGGGTATTGATAAACCAAATGTTCGTTTTGTTATTCATTTATCAATGCCAAAATCAATTGAAGTTTGATTTATTTAAGACTAAAACAAAAATTTTGTTTTTTATATTAAATATTTAGGGTTATTATCAAGAATCTGGGCGTGCTGGGCGTGATGGTGGACTAGCACATTGCTATCTTTTTTACAGTTATCAAGATTTAGTTAAAATAAAACGTTTAATAATGAGTAAATAACGAGATTTGTTTTTATTTTAACATACAATTTTATTTCTTTCAGCTGAACAATCACCAAATGCGACACGTGATGCACAAAAAGTTCGATTAGAAAATCTTCAACGTGTTTATTCATATTGTCTTAATAATGTTGATTGTCGTCGAACATTATTATTAGAATATTTTGGTGAACAATTTTTATCAAGTCAATGTAAAAAAATTACTGAAACACGATGTGATAATTGTTGTAATGTAGCACAAGCAAAATTAGTTGATTTTAAAGATTTATCAAAACAAATTCTTTCATTAGTTGATCATCTTACGCGACAATTAAAAACAATAACTCTGAATCAACTTATTGATATTTTAAAAGGAAGTAAACAAAAAACAATTCAAAATGCTGGACATGATAAATTAGAACAATATAATATTGCACCAGATATTACTAAAATCGGTAAGTTTAGAAAATAATTAAATTCATAATAGAAAAATAATAGTTAGTTAATGATGAAGCTTTTTCCATGCTTAGGAGAACAATGTTTGAGTGTTGAAAATACCGGCATTTGAAACATCTATTGTTAATATGTGATACACAAAATCCTAACAATATCGTATTCACTTTTAAAAATACAATTTAATATAAAGATAAACATAAGTCTGTTAGACAAAGACATTTACTTAATTATCTCAGTCTCTGTTGAATAATGACGAATTTAGCTGGCACTTTTGTATTCGAATATTTAAATTCATAATATAAATATATTTTATTTTTAGATTTAGAACGTCTATTATCAAAATTAATTCTAGATGATTATCTTCATCAAGATATATCTATAAATGATACATATGGTACAGCAAATGCTTATATTCGCCTTGGAAAAAAAACAATATCTTCTGAACCAATACTTATATCAGTTTGTACGAAAAAAGAAAATCCAAATGTTTCATCAACAGTATCAAATAATTCTACACGTAATCGATTAGTTGATAGTTGTTTAGTGAGATTAAAAGATGAATTAAAATTAATATCAGCAGAACATAATATAAAATATTCAACAATATTAAGTGAAAATGCTTTAAAACAAATGGCATTAACAATGCCAAGAACAAAACAAGATATGTTAAGAAATACAGTTGAAATGACAACAATTAAATATGAAATGTATAAATTAGATAGACTTTTAGCAATAACTTGTATATTTGGAGCGAAATTAGATGAAGAAGAAAATGGAGAAGATGCAATAAATACTAGTCTTAAACGAAAACGAGAAGCAATAACATCAACACCAACACCAACAACAAGTAATTATTTTCAAGATAAAACAAATAGTATTCCAAAGAAAAAGAAATGAAAATATTTATTAAATATTACTTTTTTTTCTTATTTAACTTTCCTTTATCATCATTAAAAACGATCTCTCTTTTTTTATTATTTTTGATTTCATACGTTATGTGATAAAAATATATATTTTTGAAATATCATTCTCAACACGAAAATAAATCAAATATGTTAATAATCAATTCAATATTTAAAATTATTATTTAGTCTTCATTGGAATACTGAGAAGATATTTCAAGTAGATTCGATTATTCTGTTTATTTTTCTTGACAGAAAAGGATCAAAATTGTACAGATAATTATTTTAATTAAAAAATATACAATAGATTAAAAAGCAAAAGTTTTTAAATTTGATAATAATATGTTTGGTTCATCCATTTGTCATTTAAAATTTCATTAATTGTAGCACGTTGTGTCGGATCGTGTGCTAATATTTGCCGAAGATCAACTGTTACACTATTGATATCTTTCCATATATGGTCGTCACCATCTACCCAACTTTCATACAGACTATCTTCCATCGCTGGGCACGCGGGTTTAGAGTGGAAAACCAGCCCTACTGATTTATGCACATTAATTGGTTATCTCCATTTCTGTGCGTAGCTCATTAGTTCATTACACACTCTTGTTCCTTCTCTCCCCAAATATTCGAGCGTGGGTGCCTTCAACAGAATACAAAGATTATCTGCGTACACATGCACCGGATGCGCTCCTGCGTAGAGAATTCTGTCACTGTATTAGACGATGAACAGATATGGGCTAAGGCTACTGCCTTGTGGGAGGCCTATGTCGATGTTAAAGTTCTCAGATTTTCCTTCGCCAAAAACAATGTATACTTTCCTGTCCTTTAGCCATGATACAGTCATTTTCCACAGTTCCTGTGGCATTCCTAGTCTGCCGAACTTAGCTATCAATCCTGCGTGCCATACTGTATCATACGCCTTTCTAAATTCTTCTAATTTTTGTAGGCTACAAAATACACATATTGATATTGTTAGGGGATATCTATCTATTCCTTTGTTCTCTCTTTCTCTCTCTTTTTCTCTCTCACTCTCTCTATCTTTTCTATGTGAATACATAAGTGTGGATGTTAGGGGTGATTTTATATATTTAAATAAAGAAACATCAGCTCGTGAAATCGAGCTAACATTGGTGTCGTTGTCCAATCTTCTTCTATTTGATTTCATCGAAGAAGAAGTAATTACCGGAAAATTCTTTATATAAAAACTCATCCATAACAGGAAAGAGTGATATTGATCTCATCTTTTTTTTTGGAAAGAGAGAACAAAGGAATAGATAGATATCCCCTAACAGATATATACTGTGACATATACATATAATAAAAATGCTAAATCTTACTTTAATTGATTATTTGTTAACGAACAATATTTATTAACATTAAAATTAATGCTTTTTCTTTGTTGTTTATCATTCTGAAATTCATTGAAAAATTTCATCTTAGATATTCAACTATATTTTACTTACAAATGTATCGCTAAAAATTTCTTCTTTATTTCGGTAAACTATCCAAAAGCGAACAATCCAGTACGGAAACGGTTGGTACCCGGTAACTCCGGAGATTTCATACAAGCAGTATTCAATTACTCTTTTTTTAATTGACCATGAAAACTTTCTTATTGGTTAAAGAAATTGAATATATACTTTTTGTATAAGTAAATTAAAACATGAAACAAAGTGACTTGATTATCATACAAAAATAGATAAACTCTTATCACAAATTGAACTTCGAATTAATTATGCTCAAATATCCAAAAAGAAATTAATAATATTTATAATTGATGATGAACTCTTATATTTTTCTTGATAAAAAAAACAATGAAAAAAACAAAAAAGGATCAAAATTGTACAGATAATTAATCTTAATTAAAAATATACAATTGATTAAAAAGCAAGTACCCCAAAAAATTTAATGTCCAAATCATTTAAATTATTCTTCATTCATCTAGAAGAGAAAAAGAACATTTATTTAAACTCAGTGTGATTCTAGTATGGTAAGATAGAGCATCACTTACTCTATCGATCCATACTATTTGCACTCTATCTGCCTAGCTTTATATAGAAAAATCAGTTGATTTCTAACAGGTAAAAAAAAAACTTTTGCACTTTTGTTTATATCAATTTTTTTTAATTTTTACTATATATAATCAAATTAGTTTCGAGGTTCGTGAGAACATACACACATCATATATTGAACGTTTTGTTTTTTCTTTTCGAATGGCCGCTAGACCATTCGCCTTTTGGTCAATTCATTTAAGTACATATTGAATAAACGCCGCCTAATAAAATTTCCTATATTATCGAAAGACGCATCTTGCTACATTGACAGCAGATACAAAACCAAAATCAATTATATCAAACTAGAATAATGCATACCGAGTAGACCTGATGCTAAACCGATAGGTTATGCAATATGGAGATATTTGAAACAACGACTAAATAAAACAGAAGGGACATCTCTGGACGAACTAAAAACAACTTTCAATTGGATTGAGAAATATGGAACCAAATTCTATTAACAAAGTATTAGTTTCATGATCGAAAAGAGTTTTGAAGATATATAATAGTGGAGGTTGCCATATCGAACATCGATTCTAATTGTACTTTTTTTTATATATATACTCATGATGAAAAATAAAAAAATTTGATATAAACAAAAGTGCAAAATTTATTTTTGTACTTGTTAGAGATCAACTGATGTTTCTATATAAAACTAGAGAAGATAGAATGCAAATAGTATGGATCGATAGAGTAAGTGATGCTCTATCTTACCATACTAGAATAAGAAAATTTCATTGTTCCGTTGATATACAACAAATCATGAAAAAAAATTAAAATTAACGTGATCAACCTGTACATACCCATTTGTGATGGATAATATTGCCAATTGTGGCCCGTTTTATTGGATCGTGTACTAATATTCGACGAAGAAGATTATTTATTGTGTTGGTAATTTCTGGCCATAGGTGGTGACCATGGTCGTCATCCAGTCAGATTTTCTATAAATGATCTTCTTTGACCGCTTTTGACCATGGTAGTTCTATTAAAAAAATGTTGATAAAGAAATTTACCAGCAATGAGCATTGTAATCAAAACATTGCCACACGACCAAATGGCAACTGGTTCACCACGATATGGTGCCTTTAATAATATCTAAACGAAGCTTTTTATTATATTGTATTTACCTTCGTTTATTATCAATTTTTCTAAAAAGTTCATCCAATTCTTCTAATTTTTGTAGGCTACAAAATACACATATTGATATATACT